TCACCTGAAATGCCTTCATTTCCGTAATTATTAAAAAATCTACTGACTACAAACAACTACCAACCTATATATTTGGCTTTAAATCAATTCTTTACCTATGGTTTTCTTTCGTATTTTAATTACTTATGTAATTCATATACATCAACATGTACATTTTTTCGTTTATTTACTTAATGAACATGAATAATTAATATGATTAGTGAGAGAAAAGGAACAGAAAAAACAGCTCTAGATGATAATGGTCGCTTGACTAGCGAAGAAGGTATTCACAAAGCAATGGTAGTTGCTGAAGTAATAATTATGTCATCAGGAGTTAAACCAGAAAACAGAAATTGAATAGAATTATCTTCAACAGAGAATGATTCAAAATCGTCGAATATTAATGATGTTTAAAAGAATATAAATTTGATCTGTCTCAACTAACATTTATCGTTCGTCATCAACATTTTTTCGAATATTGATAATAAAAAGATAATATTGATAATCCTATGAACAATAAGAAACAAAAAAATTTTAGATGCTATGATTTAATCAACAATTATTTTGAATTTCTCCTTATCATATACTGTAATAGATAAATATTTATTAGGTAAAAAAGATTTGTCAAAAGCTCTTAAATTAGATGAAGAATATTCTATAAAATGAAAACCTGTTCAGTGATTCTGTCTATTTGTTAATTAATTGTATTTTGTGATGCCATACAATGTGACTGATTAGTATACTGAAACTAAAATTTAAAACTAATGGGTAGCTCATAATAAAAGAAGGTCTCAGTATTTTGTTAACATTTTAACCGTTAATTAATCGGTCACGCTTTATTTTTTTATCGAAAGATTCACCGTCTGATTCTGTAGAAATTGGTATATTTCGCTGTAAAAAACACTTATCTCTCTTTCAACATCATCATGATTTAAAACAAGCATTACACACAACTTTCAAAGTCTTCATTTTTTCAATTTTTTTTTCAAAATCTCCAGTTTCTCAATTAATTCTGTTGCTTTGGGTATAATTTGTTTGCCACTCAAGAGATAAATTGGTTCATTTCAATCAACGTACCAAAGGCAATTTATTTTATTGTTAGATAAAGAATATGGCACGACCAATGATAATAAGACTAATCTAAGGACTGGATGTTTTCGGAAAAAATTGAAAAAAAATAGAGATTTTGAAAGCTGTGTGTATTGTGCTGCTTTTAAATCGTGGTGATGTCGAAAGAGAAAGAAATAAGTATTTTTACAACGAAATATGTAATTTGTGCAGAAGCAGACGGTGAATCTTTTGATAAAAAAAACAAAGCGTGAGCGATAAGATAACACTTAAGATGTTAACAAAATACTGAGACCCCCTTTTATTACGAGCTACTCGTTAGTTTCATATCATAAACATACTTTTTGGTGTCTTTCTGCTTTTCGGACTTCAAAAGGTAGCAGCACTGGTTATAAGTGTTAAAATTTGATGGATCGAGATCCCTGAGTTCAAACTATAATAACCTATTTCTATCACATTAGCAGGATATTTCTCTTCCAAGTAAAAGACTTAACCAATTGGACAAATTTTGACTTCTTTTCTGATTATCTTTCAATATACGAATAGTGAAATCTCATTTTTCATAAGCCGACCAGAATAAACAACTTTCTCAGTATTTATTTGAAATGTCATCAACTACTTGTATCGACAATATTCAATATTCTTTTTCCGCAAAATATTCATCATCAGATTCTGAAAAGAAATATGTAATGTAGTTAGTACGTGATAGGTGTTCCATCTTAGAAACAAAATATAATCGACCAATAACGTTGCTCATAATTTTCAAAATCGTCTGGTTTTTCGACTTTCACAATAGTTTCCTTCAGAAAGCAATATTTAATCTTAATTCACTTTGGTTTTCAATATCGAATCTTTTTCGCCCATCTTTTAGTTACCTGAATGTTCCTAATAATTATTAAGATCGAATTCGTAACTAGAATGAGTGTCAAACATGTTATGCAGAAAGCCAATGTGATTTAAGAATAAATAATGCTTTTGAGTAAAGTATTGAAAAAGACGAAATTTTCACAGTTTGTGTGCGAATGAGTAATAGTCTTTCCTTAAGTTACCCAATCATTCTCAATCATATCCACAATCTCAATTAAGTTTCGCTTTTCAATCTGCAGGCACGCATCGTATAAAAAAGAGTTGTTCATTTTTCGTTCGTTGTCCCATTATTTTGCGCTTACGCATAACAGAATGATTTGTGCTCTGTGAGATGAAGGTGAAGCTGTTCTGCTAATGTCTCAATAAGAAATCGAATGAAAAATGAGAGACACACCATGAAACAGCTTTGAGTAAGAATATGTAAGGATGGCCGGTTTCTATCTTACTGAGGGTGTGGGTGTGGGTATAGATAAAGAAAAAGAACACACCCACACCCACCCCACACCCACACCCACACCCACACTCACACCCACCCACACCCACACCCACCCACATCCACACCCACACTCACACCCACCCACATCCACACCCACACACCCACACCCACACCCACACCCGCCCACACCCACACCCTTATTTTTAACTAAACTACAGACTAAATAAACAAACAATACAAATTCCAAAGCAAAGATGAAAACTAAATAAGAAAATTCATATCGAAAAACGGAGGCCTCTGTTATTATCACGAATGGAATTTATTACGTTCCATGTAAACTTTTATTCGAAATTTCATGTGTCTATATGCTAAATCTATCAATGTAGAGAATTTGCGAAACTTCGAAAAGGACCTACAGTAGATCTTAGAAGATGGATTTTAAAGAAAAAAGAACTCTTATCTATTATCAATCGATGGAAATAATCGCTTTTGAATTGGTATAAATAACTCTGATACAGAAATAATCTTTTTGGAGGAAAACCGATTTTTAAGTAAATGAGTGTTTGAAATTCGAACCTTAGTCGAAGTCTCCTTTTCTCTCAATCGGCAAAATTGCATTGCAGTTGATTATTTCTTATATTGTGTGGACTGATTCTAAAATTTTTAAAGTGGATGAAGGAGAAATGACGTAAGAAATGAGACAGATAGACTCATAGATTTTATTAGAATTCTATTTACGTGTTTGTTTTCTTTATCATTTGAGACCTTCTCCATGAATGAAAAGATTAACGATGCATATATAGTTTTTAAAGATAAGTACCAGAGAATCGTGGAATATGAATTAAGTATGCTATCATATTATTTGATTAGATTTCTTTTCACTATGGGTTAATGAGCAGTTAAAAACCGAAATGAAACAACATTTTTTAGCTTTATTTGAACATGTAAAAACCTTCATTCGAACTGTATGAATGTTTATTGAGCTCAATTATTGTAACATTCATAAGAAATAGATTATTCATATGTTAGAAATACACGGCTCGTATGTCGTCATTACAGGCTTGCTTCATATCTTTGTTAAGATAACTAAAATAGATTTCGTTTCATTTTGGAATTCTACGTAAGCTTTTTCAATGCAGTCATTTAGCATAAAGGTATTAATACATATCCAACAAGAATTTCTTTCTAAAATTTCAAATCTTGACATTCTCCTTACTCGAATGAAAGCAAAATGAACAGATAAACGTGAAAAAACAACGTATAAAGAACTCATTCGTTTGGCTGTTGAGTAGTAAAAACTTACATTTGAGTTGACAGACACTCTCTGCTTTCACATAAATTGTTGAACATTTTTATATTTGTAAGCTAATGAACACGTTATCTACAATAAAGCAAAAACCTACTTACGATAGAAGCTTAGCTTCAAAGTCTTGATTCATAAAACTAATTCGAAAGTTCCTTTATTCTTCTATTAGAAGAGCGAAAAAGAAATACAAATATGTGACGGTAATAGAGAAAATATAGTATATTCCATGTTGGGGTGTGGATGTGAGTGTTGGGTGTTGGTGGAAAGAGACAATACCCACACCCACACCCTCAAAGTACATATATCTAATACAATCTTATTGTCATTTCACTAACCTGCAGTGAAAATTTTTATGCTACATATTTTGAAAACCAAAAACTGTTTCTAACATCGTAAGCAACATATTGTATTCTAGATATTTTTACATAAGAGTTCAAAGAGTTCGACAAGATCTACAAGAATATTAATGTTAAGAAAACTTGTCATCTTATTTTCAATATAAAACTAAAACAAAATTAGAAAAACTAATAAACATTTCACGTATCTAATATTAGAGAGAGTGAGTTGATCTTTCAAAAGTTTTAGTTGGTTGATTGTTTCATCTATTCAGGCAGCTCAGAAACGGTATTTTCAGCTTTAGTATGTAACATTGCATCTCAAGACATGAAATAAAAGTTGGCCGACTAAAGTTCTTGAAACCTAAGCGTACTATCTCATGATGGATATGCAAGATTTTTAGTAGTCTACGTGGTGTCATTCGAGTTTTATATTGAAAACACGATTTGAATTTTTCTTGATATTGATAGTTTTGTAGAGTTTGTTGAACTCTATCAAATTCTATAAAAATATCTATCAAAACCATGTAGAAAATAATATTTAGCCCGACTTCAACAACTCAATCGTTAAAGGATTTTTTTCCTTTCTTCCAAAAAATGTAGCGTAAACATTTTCAGTAAAGCTTAGTGAAATGATAAGAAGATTTCATTAAATACATATATATATTTCGAAGTACTTTTTTTGCAGTACATCAGAAGGAGTAAGTTGTGAATAAATATTAGTGGGTATTAGAATCTTTTACTAATGCTTCTTTTTTTCTAATCAAACTTCAATTGCGAGTTTCTAATTTTTTTTCTGTATTCTTCTACTTAAATCTCTATCACATCCATCAATGAAAATCACAAAATGAATAAAACCAGATGATTTATAAGAGAGATGTATAAGAAAAAACACATGCATAAATAGAACACCCGAAAAATCTCATATCGAACATGATAATTCATAGTTTTTTTAGTGTGTAACGACTAATCACGATTCATAATTCATCGATTTTCTGAACGTCACTTATTAACCACTAATATTCTCTAGTTTGAATGTCCACGTCCATTCACTTTGTAGTAAATGAAGTTTGATTGCTGAAACATCGATCACAATACCACGATCTCCACTAGCTACACGCCATGGAACTGAATCAGCATTTGAACCCAAAAGTGTCACAATTGTTCTTGAAGAACTTAACGGAGCACCGAGTATTATTTCATTGCTATCTTTTGGCCATATAAGAAGAAAAGCATAGACGAATCTATTATCTTGTGATGATGTATACCTAAAGTAAGAAAAATTTTCATAACTTCTCTATTTAATTAGACTTACCAAACATTTGGATTGATAGTATCATTTTGATATTCCCATGGTTTAGTAGCATAAATAGCTTCACCATTGACTTGTAACCATGAACCCATTTGTCGAAGACGTTCTTGAAATATTGGTGGAATCTTTCCATGCATGTTGGGACCAACATTGACCAAGGCATTACCTCCAGTGCTAAACAAAAAGTAATAATAATAATTTTTTTAATGAAAATTTTGAACAAAGACATGGAAACAACCTGATCGTAGTGACCACTTCTTTGAGTAATTCTTCAATTGTCATATAATCCTCAATATTAGCAATAGGACGGTATGCCCATGCCCTTTTATCAATCTATTTCAATGTAATAACTATTGAAATTCAATGCAATGTTTCAAAACTGTATTTCGTACCGTGAAAGCATTTTCCCATTTATGTTCAATTAGATACCCTGGATTGAAGCGATCCAAACAAGTGTAAAAGTCGCCATGTTTGCATAGAAGTTCACTACCCCATCGATCATTGACAACCTATACAAACTAAATAGATATGTTAATTATTAACCATAGACTAATACGTACGACAGTGTCTTTCACAGGACTTTCATTGTAGAGCCAAGCTAAAAATTGAGTAGCATTCCAATAGGTATCGCGCGCTTCTAATATAAGATATGAATGCATTCAAATAAAAACACATTTATCAACGAACCCCATTCGCCATCAGACCAGACTATTTCAGGTTTGTATGTTTCTACGAGTTCTCTGAGTTCAGGCAATGTTTTCGTCTATAAAGATACATTCTTCATCTAACTCTCTTTCATACAGAGCGAACATTTACTTCTGGAAAGTATTGAGTGGTGAAATTATTAGATTTATCTTGTAGATAGACTGGATTGAACCATTCAAACAATGAATAATATAAACCAAAGACAAGATTTGTTCGATTTCGAATAGCTGCAGCTAGATCTCCTAAAAATTTCACATTGAGAAAAAGAAAATAGAACTAAGAAAATCTTTCGAACCAAGTAAATCTCGTTTTGGACCAACATGCATTGAGTTCCAATTAAAATTAAATGTCGATGGCCACATAGCATAGCCTTCATGATGCTATTTTCGAAAGACAAGAGAAACTATTTCATTGATATTATAATATCAATGCATTTGAAACTAACCTTGCTAGTAAGAACAACGTACCTGAAGTGAGAATATGAGATATTTCTATGAAAAGTGAAAAGTATCGACCTACTTTGCACCAGAGGCAGCAAATAGATCAGCCCATTCATTTGGATCTAAAATGCAGAGAGATTGTCAATGTTTTTCGAAGAAATCTCTGATTGATATTCACCATAGAGATCCGCACGAAACTGTGGACCAAAATTTGCATAAGTCCAATCTGGTGGATAGTTTTTCTCCATATAAGCTACAATACTCTCAACTGGATTGGTACCTTGCCAATTCCACCACATCCTACAAAGAATTGGGATGAATAATTTTATCCTTCTTATATATTTTTTTGAATATAAGGCAAGTGCATTTTGAGTGACTTGTAAGCTACACCTACCATTCCGAAGAGATAGCTGGAACGCTGTACAAACCCCAGTGAAGGAAGATACCTATTTTACTTTCGTCATACCATCTAGGTAATGGGCGTGTATCGAGTGATGTCCAGTCAGGAGTATATTGTTGTTCACTCACTGATAGAAATGAACAAAATAGAAGAGCAACGAATATCAGTTTTGCCATGCAATAATACATCGTATTGATCTACAAAAAAGAGGTAATACGACAATTGAAGCCAGGATACAGAAGAACAGGAAAAATGGTTAAGTAAAAATAATAATTATTTTCTGTAACCGAGCGTGTGAGCATAGGTTAGGATTGTCTCTGAGAGTGTTATATTAATCTGCATTATTGGTCGATTTTCGACGAGATAGATCACATCATGATAAAACAAAAAAGTAGTAAGTGTGAAACTTGAGTCTACCACGCTTATATCATTTAGAGATCATCCTTGGAAAAAAAAAGTTATATAGTATGAGAGATTGTCTTCGAACTCAAAAATAGAGCGAACTTCGTTTGATCACTATTGTTTTCGATTCCATTCGAACAAATGATAGAATGAAAATTGCTCTTGTCGCTTTTATAGCACTTTCATCGACAGATAAGAAAAGAATTCTTTTCTTATCTGTAGTGGCCGTTAAGTGCACTTTATGGTATCCCTGTAAGAAGTTTGAATTTTTCTGTATATTTGGTTTCCGTTGTTCATATATAATTGAATACAATTACGTATGCTACTTTCGAATACAATATGATTAACTGCTTTTATGACATTGAATATGCCATGTACCTTCGCGCATCTTTCTAGGTAATTTTCTTCTAAACCTTTGACACAACGAAAAAGTCGATTTTCAAAGTTAAAAAAAAATTTCGTTCCTTTCTTGAAATATATTTTTCTGCTGTTCCCTATTCTCGGTTGTCTTACATATTCGAAAGCTCGAAATTTTATAGGAAAAAATTCCATCAAAGATAAAAATACAAATGATTGAAAAATTGTAATCTAGCTGGAGGTCTTGTCTACATTTTTAAAATCTAGCTGAATCTCTATGACTCTTGCCATTCTGACTATGTATTATTGTACATTTCTTAGCTCTTTCCAAACAAACCACTTTAATATCGTCAATGTTATCTTCAATGTTGCACAAATTTTAGTTGTAGACTTTCTTACACATTTCTTCATCAGAAAAGTATCGATACTGGTATAATAGACACTATTGTTGCACTTGTATAGTGATGAAGTAATAGTTTCTTTCTTTTGTCATACATAATCTGATGACAACAAAAAAGAAAAGATTAAAGCTAATTCTTCGTCATTTTAGTTTTCTTTTGTGAAGAAATTGCATATTTTTACATGGTGAACTTGAGTCGCTACTTTCAGTTTAGAAGTAGTTGAGATAGAAGCGAAGAATGATGTATTGCATTAATTCTTGATTATGATCCTCTTGTTTCAATTTTCAAAAGAAGTTAAAGTCAATATTTGAATGAAGTGTCATATAATCAAGTGTTATATAATCCAGTGTCCTATAGTGCAATGTTTTATGAAGAGAGAGACCTTGAAAGAGAATCATGATTAGAGTTGTTGTATCGATATCATTGCTTTGAATTGTATTTTTTTTATTGTAGAGAAGCAAAAAAAGGTGATAGAAATAACGTTTGAAGCTTCAGCTCAAACGAATGCACGATGGAAGAGATATTGAAGTTACAACCATATGTGCTAAAGAAGATTGAAAATCAGAAAAATTTATCAATGTAAACTATAATCTATGTAATTTTTATACACTTCATACATTTTAATTTCACAGAAGTTTATTAAATGCTTACAATGGTTCTTATGTAAAAAGAGAAGTGCATTCAATTATATGGTGGTGAATAAGCTAAATAAATAATCATTCATTTTGAATATAGTGCTTGTTACAGTTCTTCAGAATAAGGATGTGCTTCTGAAAAAGTTACAATTTTAACTGAAGATATCAACGGAAAAATTCTATGTGTCACGTTTATCTTTTACTCATTTCTCGTTCATTTCCATTCAGTTTGTAAAATTAATCGGGTGTGGGGGTATAGATAAAGAAAAAGAACACACCCACACCCTTTTTTACACGGAATTGAATTGGTTCAATCTTTCGTAGAATATCAAAGACTTGCATTGAAAACTTGTCAAATGAAATTTTCTATGAAATATTTGATTATCTTGATAGTTGTAATGTTTATAAATCATTTTTTAATCTTAATTATCGTTTTGAACATCCTATTATTTCTCCATTATTTTTTCTGAAGATTCATCTTCGTTCAGAGGGACAATCAGAACTCATAAAAATTTGTCAAAGTATTATTATTTCGAATAGATATCGTATTCTTTCATTGAGTTTGGAAAATAAATCGATCACCAACGATTTTTTACATATTGTATTATCGATTCATCATTTCATAACCTTCAATCAATTGTTCTTAAAAGCGTTGATACTGACAGTTGTGTGATGCCTCTTTTTATTTAAAATCTCTACCTCGTCTTTTCTTATTGAGTATATATATATTGATGAACAATGGGATTGTAACCTCAATAGCATCTATCGAATGATTTACTCTCTTTCTTTCTTGAAATATAGTAATGTATCATTATTTTCGTGCAATCAATTTAAAGAAACGAATGTCTCTATACCTCTGGCTGTCAACGAGAAATTCAGTACGATTGAATATTTAATCATTGATCATCATTGTCATTTGGATGAACTTTTCTCTATGCTTCATCATACACCTCGACTACGTCATTTGACGTGTAGAAATTTATTAGAATCGCGTAATAATTTCAATAACGCAAATCGAATAATATTATCCAATTTGACACATATTTCTATTGATATTGTTGATATATGTTTTATTAATTATGAAATGTTCTTCAGGCAGGTGCTTGCTCCAGTCCATGTATTACGTATTAAACATCACAAGAGTAGAGATTATTTCGATGCTAATGATTGGGAACAATTAATCAAAACATATATACCTTACTTACGGAAATTCAACTATGAATATCATGAACATTATCCATGTAAAAATGATAGCATTATTTTTTTCATGAAAATCAATCAGTTTACTTCGTCTTTTTGGACTTAACGTCGATGGTTTTTTGAATTTGCAATGCATATGGATAAAGAACACGTCAATGGCTCGATTCATCCATATAGGTATATTCATTATAGTCTTTTCTATCGATAATCTGACAGTTATTTTCAGGGATATGTGGCTTGATATTTATAAATATCCAGAAATGATCACATATTTTAATGAAAATCCTGATTATTCTTCAACTCAGTTTATACCAACTATACAACTTATTAATATATGAATACTCTTGCTATAGACATTAGTTTGTAATCAAATCTTTTGTAAGTCATCTATTTTTACTTGATTTGTGAACGCTTTGTTGTACGGATTTTTTTATTGCTCTTTTGTTCATTTACAAAATATGAACTACTACCGTTCATGATAAGTTTTAGTGTAGATCGAGATATTTTTGTGGAAATTAAAAGATTTTTTTTCTGTTTACTTCAGCACGCCACCCACAGGAGCCTATGAATGAGGATAAAATAGCTTCTGAAAAAACACAGTACATTCATCTCCAAGTCAAGTATGTACGGCAGGAAACAGTCAGCTTCAGGTTCTTTCAGCAATTTCTTGGAAGCAGTATTCGAGATCCGTAGTCGGTGAAATTTTCTGGCGACCAAAAATGTGAGGGATCTAGCCGATTCCGATGACAAAATAAAAGAAACCTTAACAAACATGACCGAGATCCATTGTCTCTGATCGAGTTCACATATCAGAATCATTGATCGGAGGATTTACATGGGCTTTCGATGCGTATATAGATAGTGAACGCGTAATATGCCTCCAGATATTCCCATCGTTTTTCAACTCGATCTAGAGGCCGGAATCATCAGCTAGAGGGGGCACTAAAAATCACTTTATAAAAATCTACTGAAAGGTATTCTGTCCATTGACTCCATTTCGTAACGAAAAATAGTACGTGAACATTTCTAATTTCGCGTTTTCACTTCAAACCTATAAGCATCTATAACGATCGCTCAGATTGACTGAGTTCGATCGTCTTCCACCGTTTTGATTTGCGTTGTATGATGTCTTTATTTCATCGTATCGCAAAAAGTTATATTATGACGCATTAGGAGTTTGACACCTTCATATCGCTCAAAAGAGCGGGATCGTTTGATCCGCTCTTTTAACCAACTTACAGCTCGATGAGCTGATCAATAACCTCGCTTACAAAAAATATTTTTGTGGCCTCTGCTGTTGGTCTATCCATGTGGACAAGTACACTTCAGCCGATATCTGTGCAATGACAATCATCGGATTGCTGGTTGCTATTGTCTTAATCTCTGTCTACATATCTCGTATTCTTTGTGGTGTATGAGACACTTGTTTACTTATGCGTGATGACGAACACTAATCGACCGTTACGCTTTCATCATCATTGTCGAGTGCTCGTTTGGCTGTTGTACTAGCAGTAGGGTGCCACAATTGATTTGAAGCAAGACCAATGATTGCCGACATCTGTTGATGGTAGAAGGATGGACTAGATTGTAGCTGTGCCAATGGTTGTTGATGACTCATATCTTGTTGTCGATTATACCCTTTGATTTTATTTCGTTTTATTTTATGTGCAAATAATAACTTGGTGAAGTATGTATGAATGTTTAATGCAGGACATGTGCTAGTAGATCGAGCATATATAGATAGCTCATAGTTGTATTGTAGTTAAGTTTAATAAATGTATGTCTAGATTAAAAAAAAAAACTTATTGCATCTGCAATTTGTTTTTAGTATCAGTAATCAGTGCTATCTATCATTCATATCGTATTGTAGTAAAAACTGATATTAGCAATTATTATCATTGTTATGCTTTATGTTCTAGAGAACATGTGTACAAAGATCGACATTAAATATCATCAATGTTAAGAATTATCGAGATGTAGACATATAAAGGATATTCTATAATAACTGAGGGTAAATTGTTAACGATATTTTTCATACTGTTGTTTGATGTAGAGAGCTGAAACTTTAATCACATATATGTTTGATCAAGATCTTTTATTTCTAAAAGTTTCAGCTCTCTTGCTATAACTAATGATGAAATACATAAATATATGTGATAGAAATGTCCATTCTCTACATTAAACAAAACTATG